TGATTTCGAATTCCCACCGAAAGCCCCGCACACCCATTCAAGTGTCCTGCGAGTTGAACGGGAATGAAGCAGGGCATTTTTAATGACAAAACGCAACATAATTGATCGATAGCATGGGAACATGTTTGTGGAATTCATCATGGTATCACACAATCTCTCCCTCATGTCCGACTAAAAATATCAATAAGGGTGCCACTTTTGTGAATTTTCTGGATATGGTTTTCCTCATAAAACCCATCAATTTCATAGTGGGAATGCTGTTGTGTCAATTCTTGCACGCAACACTCCCTATGAGAAGGACCCCACCATGAGTTTCCCCATCCTTTGCGAACTCCCATGAATGTTGCGTGGCTGATCGTCTTTGATGTGTGGTCCATCTGTTGACGCTTCATTGTCACTGTGTTACTGGAGCAGCGCTTTACTAGCTATGATTTTTCGAATAACTTTGCATACGAAAAAGATTGATGGAAATTTCAGGGGGTTCCTCGGTAGACAGCTTTTTCAGAACATTTTTTTCTGAGTGGGCCGTCAAACGCCCTTTTTACTGCACAGGGGAATCCATTCTCTACACACAAAAGTGCTTGGTAGACAAATATACGGTGTATTTTATTTGATTCGCTGACAGTCACCTGCTCTGGTTGTTGCTGAAAATTTTTGTTCGCCTTTGATCAAGCGAAGCTAATCTTGTATACATCCACTGCATCATTGTCAGTGACACGTACACCACGATATGCGGCGCAGACGCGTCCGTCCTACGTCCTACGTGTGAGGCAGACCGGTTAGGTTTAACATTGATGATGACTGAATTGGTAACAGAATAATAAACAGTTGTTAATCTGTTGATTTACGACCGGACTAACAACAACAACAACAACAAAGTGTATCAAGGCTCGTGTTTTTCCAAACTCATCATCACCTTCTACCGGCATCCTGTATTCCACCGAATGATTGGGTCGTGGAGAAAGTGAGTGCAATCACTTGTGTGTCCACTATTGGCTGGTCACTCATGGAGAGAATTTCGACCAGGTGACGCTGTCGATGGGAACCGCAGCATGACCAATTGTTCCACCGGAGGCCATTAAATGTTCTTTTATTGGTTTGTCCAGTCGTTATCGATGTCAGCGTCAGTGACATTCGTTGACAAGTTGAGATTAAGTGGAGCCAGCTTTGTTACTCACTTGCAGACGGTGAAGGTTGTAAGGACATTGGACATGTCATATTTGAATGAGGCAATGATGATCCGGCAGATGAGACTACTGGTGTGATTATAGTTGACCTAACTGTGCTCCACCAATTGGCGCTACCCAGATATTCGACAAGTTCAATCTGACCTAACCGGGATGGTTTAGCGCATAAAGAACTTTTATTCCTATGCCTTCCCTCTTCCGCCAGGTTATGAGGATGCATGTGGATGACGGTGGAAACCTGGTTACACCTAATACACTACTCATAAGTTTGCTTAAAATTCTTCGACAGCCCACGACCAGTTTCGACTTTCTTAGGGCTCATCAGATAGGCGCAGTCCCTGAGTTTCCGTCAACCTTATGTTTTAATTGAAACCAAATTGCACGAAATTAGCGAACTACACCCCTTTGCAAACTAAATTTGGTCTTTCGGGAGACTCACCTTGAACCCAGCTGAATCTCTTGCTTGTGATGTTTCCAGGTAACTGAATGTGCTGCACCAGAATGCCTCATATTTCATTCGCTACGATAGTCAAGATATCGCGATACACGCATATTCGTAATACACTACTCATAAGGTTGCTGAGAATTCATCGAAAGCCCACGACCCGTTTGGCCTTTCTCGGGGCTCATCAGGTGAGCACAGTCCTCAAGCGATTGCAAAATAGAGGAACCTGTTATTAGTAAGTATCGGGGGTGAAACTCTGCTAGATACCAAACACACCGATGTTTTTCCAGGCGTTTCTGAAATCACCTATCAGTCTTGGATTAGGTTTTGAAAGCCGCGGTCATGTCAAGTTGTGCGAACTTTTGTCAGGATTACTCGGCCATTTAAAACGCTTTCTGTTGCAAATTTATCGACACTCAAAAGAAAAAAAGAATCGGCCCATCGACCTCTCTGTTCCTGACTGAAATACATGAACAGAACGAGCTTGCTGTAATACTCAGCTGTAGAAGCTAGCAAGTACTGAAACAAGTTTACTCATACTACATCAGACAGTGTACGAATTGGTTCAAGGACAGACGCTCACGTTATCAGGAAGGTCAGCTTCCCGAAAGCAACCACTGAATGCCCGAAATCTACCGAGACTCTCAGCTCCGCTAGATGTTGACCAGACAGACAACGCCCCCTCAATATGCAGCGCCTCACAGCCTTGTATCAAACCCAGACAGCGCGAGTCAGCGTTGACCAAGGTCAGACAACGCCCCCGCAATATGCAGCACGTCGCAGCCAGACCGTGTGCGTCAGCATTGGACCGAGTTCATACAGTGTCCCTCCAATAAATAGCTTGAGACCGTTTTGTGTTCGCACTCACGCAATCATGCTCTCGCACTCGCTTGTTCGGAATATACCGGTTGTGTTCCCTTCTGTGAGTCTTTTTTCTCCGGCATTAGGCACTGGAGTGGGTCAGCAGCAGCAGTCACAAATCGACGAATCAGCAGATGTAACACACGTAAACACAATCTAGTTCACCTGAGCACAAACATTCTAGTAACAAGGTTTTACAACTCACTTTGAATATATACATACATAGCAATATATCAATACATGTATGTATATATGAACGTGGATTTGTGTCGCAACACGAAATAAGTCATACCACATTTGTTCAAAGCCCATTGATATCAGCGATTTTGACCAGATAAAAAGGTCGGAAGGGTAGATTCAGTCCCGAATAAACAGGTAATGAGGAATCCGTGGCCTGCACATAAACATTTGCTGTTTACTAGATGAAAACTGCTCTGTCCCAACACAACCTACCCTACCAACTGTCTGGCTTCAGTTTCGAGTGCGGATGAGTGGTGAGTAGCTTTAGACGAAACTCTTCAAGTTACGGGCAAGTAATTTTTTGCAAATTTTGCACATCAAATGTTGAGTAATATCCAACAACTAAGTCACGCAGGGGTGTTTTATTGCGAAAACCCCAAAAATCGGTTCGTGGGAAAGAAAGAGGTCATACTTAGATCCACTGTTTTTCACTAATTTAATAGAGTGATTTTACTAGAATAAAGTTACAGGTTCATGGTATTGATTTACGGATTCTGACATTCCAGAGTTTTTTT